CCCCCCCCCCCATATATCACATATATATTAGAATAACTGTTGTGGGGAGGGGGGAGGAGATACATGACAAAGGAACATGGAAAAGGGAGTGGCGGGATTACTAAGTGAAGACTTCAATTCAGAACGACATATTTTTAACCTTTTTTTTGACATACTTTGACGAGTTGAATTTTTATAATTTCTTTGGGACGCGTACGCTTTATATAGATATAATAATTCAAAGGAAGTGTTCTGATCGACTGGAAATCTAAGAAAACATGTGTATTTTCCCTGTAATATTTTTTCTATTATTTTTGTCTGAAAAATTTAAATCTGATTTATTTAAAATCTTGACACCCTAATTGAACCCTTTAATTAACCCCTTGAATCATATCTGAAGAATAAGACACGTAAAACCTAAACCGCCTCGTCTTGTAAACACCCAAGGTCGCGTGCTTGCGTGTACGCAACCTTGCGTAAGGGAGCAACAGGATGCGTCACACAACGGAAGAAAACCAGTTATTGACAGGGATGGGGAGGNCCGTTATGAAGCCCCGTTTTATGCCTCAAAAGTCAAAGGTGATTTATAAGCATAAAGCCAACTATCACGAGAGAAGGGGAGATCAATTCTCTAGAATAATATTTTCATATTAAAATAATTCTTTTCCAATTTCAAATTCATTTTGCTAAAGAATGAAACCTTTCAATTATAATCAAATGCAAAAACAACTGTTTTAATCCCAGGAATGCATTTCAGAAGTTTAGTATAAGTAAATTTTTTTTAAAAAATCTAAACAATTTAATTAAAATTTAAAAACTTGTGTTTGATATTCTCCGCAATAAATCCTCATGTTTAAGAATGTTTGTTTATGTTATTGAGATAAATACAAGTTTAGAAATCTAGAAATTAGGATTAGAATATAGTGGAAGGAGTGGAAGGGATTGGTGGGTTGATGACGTCATTAATGAATCAATGAAATTACCAAAGGATCCGCTGATATATGGATCAAGGAATTGGTTAATAAGGTAATACATCGATCTAAGGATCGGTTGATAATGAAGGCTAAATCAAATGATTTTTTTTCAAATGATGAATGGATCAAAGGATTTGCCGACAAAAAATGGATGGTACAAAGCATTGTTTGATCAAAGGATTGTTTGATCAAAGGATTGTTTGATCAAAGGATTGTTTGATCAAAGGATTGTTTGATTAAAGAATTGTTTTATTAAAGCATTGTTTGATTAAAGAATTGTTTGATTAAAGGATTGTTTGATCAAAGAATTGTTTGATCTAAGAATTGTTTGATTAAAGAATTGTTTGATTAAAGAATTGTTTGATCAAAGGTTTGTCTAATAAAAGTTTCGTAAAATCAAATCATGATCAAATGATGGGGAAATCTAAGGCATGGCTGATCAGTAAGATGGGATGGATGTATTAAAGAATTAGTAAATCACAAATTGATCGATCAAAGGATAAATAGATCAAAGAATTGACTGATGAAATAATTATTGGATCAAAGAATTAATCAAATAATATATTGATCAAATAATATATTAATCAAAGAATTGATTGATCTTATGATGATTGGATTAAAGAATTGATTGATTAATGAATCAAAGGATTTGTTGACCAATTGCAAGTCAAATGATGATGGATGGATCAATAGAGTGGTGAGGAAAAAAGGAAGAGTGGACGGGGAGGGGGTTAGGATTGACGAGGAGGGGGTTAGGATGGAGGAAGTGTTTCAAATAGAGCTATGGATTAAAGATGATAAACCTGAAATGATAAACAATTTTTTTTAATCTAAGCACATCATAACATTTTCAAAGCTCAAACATTACAATTTTTTTTCTATAAAAAAGTCCTGTTTGTCGTTGTAAAGTATAAGTTTATTCTAAGATTATTAAGATTATCATCTGTTGATTATTTGTTGGTTTAATATTTTTTAAATCAAGAGTTTGTCTTTTATCAATAATCCATAGAGTAAACAATCCTTTGAATTTATAACCAGACATAAAACAATTTGAATAATCCAACCAAACATAAAACAATTTGAATAATCCAACCAGACATAAAACAATTTGAATAATCCAACCAGACATAAAACAATTTGAATAATCCAACGGTTCAAAAAAGACGAACAAAAATATATTTAAAAAAATTAGATTTAAATAAACACAATTACTTTAAAAAACATATCTTAGTAAAAGTTTAACTTTTACGCAAAAAAATATAAAAAAAACTCTTTAATAAAATCAATAAGCATGAGGGGTGATTAAAAAATGTATATATGATGATGTCTCCTTAAATCCAAACCAAACATTTTACACTAATTACTCTACACTTACACCCTGTATTACTATTGCAAGCCTTAATCTATTTTTCTAACCTAATGTCACCCCGGAAATGAACTTCCCGTTGATAAACACATGTTTTTCAGAGTTTTAAAAAAACCGCAAAGCAAATAAAATTTGCACATTTTTTTTGAAATTTGAAAAAAAGGTAAGTTGTTTATGTTAGCCCTGAACCACAGAAGCAAGATAAAGATAACATTTCGAACATTTCGCACCCAACTACAATTTAAGATAAGAATTTAACAAAAGATAAGCGCGGGAAATAAATCAAAAGTCCCTGATTAAAAAATAACATTATCTTTAAAATGAATTACGTGAGATATATCCTTAAAAACAAAATAAAATTTTGAATGAATGAATGTTAAATTAGAAGGCGTATGTTGCATGGTTATGGTTTCCAATATGGGTGTTTTCTTTAATATACTAAAACTGTCCAAAACAAAAATCAACCTTAAATTTTAATTTTTATTAAAAAGGAAACGGCATCCAAATGAAACGAGACAAAATAAATATATTCATGAAATATTTTAGATAGATAACATTAAATAATGCAGTAGAAACCAAGGAAAACAGCTGTTATTTTTCAAAGCACTATTTCAGAGAGTATAGCCAATTTTATTTCCATTAAGACAAGAACAATGATATAATAGTTTTGTCTGCCATATTAGACAAGAGTAATGGTGTCTACCATATCAAAAATGAAAAGTTCCGTGTTGTCTGCATAAGACAACAAGAGTTAATTTTGTTCATCATATCAGAAAAGATTAGTTTATTTCTTTTTCTGTATTAAGCAAGACGACTGGAGGATTTTATGGCATTTTTATTCAAGTGGTAGGACGAGATAAAGCTGCCTATCGTATTATAGAAAAGAGTAGTTAACGACTGTATTCAAGTGGTAGGACGAGATAAAGCTGTCTATCGTATTATAGAAAAGAGTAATTAACGACTGTATTCAAGTGGTAGGACGAGATAAAGCTGTCTATCGTATTATAGAAAAGAGTAATTAACGACTGTAATAACAGGACGAGGAACTAATGGTGGCCATAAGACATGATTGTTTATGTTTGATACTATTAGACACCAAAAGTGAGTCAAGGAAAATTGAGTTCTAATCTTAACATGAAGGATTACTATGCTGTCAATTAAAAATTAAATTTGTCACAAATCAATTAAATTATTGTTTTCCAATGTTTATAGTATTAATATCGTATTAAGGAGTAAACGTTGTCAATAATAAAAGAATGTACACGAAAATATAAAAGCAGCTGGTAAGGCATGGAATTCTTAAAATTATTTGGTCAATCTTTTAAAGTTAATCTTGATGTCTGAGTATCGATATAGGTTGCACAATATTTTCTTAAAACTAGTGTTTATTGTATCTTTATCTACAGGGTGTCCCACGAAACATGACAGTATGCAAGAGGCCTTGAATGTCGTCTTGATTTTTAATATAATTTGCTGCGTTTATTTGTCAACCTAATAATTATGTGATAATTGTTTCAAGAATCATACATGTTAAAGTAGATAGAAGACTAAATGTCACAAATAAATTCAAATATCAAAGACGACTTTCAAGTCGTCTTGCTATTGTCATGTTTCGTGGGACACCCTGTATTATCTGTATATTTACATCTATATTTATGTATTTAAGGCAAGGAGTAAAGAATAGAAGGGAGTACAACTGACGCGACCCGCCCTACCATATGATTATGCATGCTTTGTAGACGGTACTCCATTTGTATAAGAAATATTCAGAATAGGTTATTG